ATATATATACATATATGTATTATGTAATCACCAAATCATCGTATAAAAGCCATGTACTACCCACTCAAGCAGCATACCAATTTACAACTAAATACATTTTGCGTCATCCGAAACATTAACATTTCATCTTTATTAAAAGACGCCCGAGATATGGTCACTCCAAATTGGCCTTAATAATCAGGATGAGCAGAACTGCAAAAACAAAGAAAAGTAAAATTGTATTGGCGGGTGTATTGAGGTGCATCAACATTGGTGGAATGGACATGCATTGAATAACAGATGAAAGGAGGATATTGCTGTCTATGCAATAAACAGCATCTTTTGATGATATTTTCAAACAGTTTTCAAAACTGAGTAGCCACAAGTACCATGCAAAACCTGGACTTAACATTACATGACGTGCTCATTAGTATGATTTTGTGTTTGTTTAGAAACTATTGGTTTTGAGTAACAAACGAAACTTAATTTGCACCTGGACTCTGTTAGATACATTTTTGACATAATCAGCAGTCAGTGAAGCACAGATGCCACCTAGCTGCCGTGATTTTGGTTGGTCTTCGGCGTAATAACAAAACCACCTTCGTATGAATCACTGGATGGTCTGGTTTAATAGATACATCGCGCAGTGCTGGAACGTCGTGTCTTACCCATATATTCGTCACGGTGCTATTCAAGTCATTCAGTGGACATCTCCATGCATGGCAAAGCACTTTCTCACATGACCAATGCCACTAGATAATTCTAGTAAAAACCAAATCTTATCAACGTTGGAGGGGTCACCAGTAAATAGACCGATATGAATCCGACAGGTGTGTGAAATCCTATGAAACAGCAGCTGAAGAAAATCGATTTCGATCCCTATTTAGACCCTTTGTTAGCAACTGTCTAGATTCTATGACATTTTGGATAAAATAACAGATAATTATGCCCAAAATTTAACAGAACCGGTGCCCAAAGGGGTCGTACTCTACAAAACCAATGGCTTCTAAGCAATTAACAATGAGCAGAATTTAATGTTTAGCCCAAGTTTTGCGGGTATTTTTGCTCGGTATTTTAGATTACTCTATTTAAAACATTTTTGCATCGTGCGTTTTCATGGTGCGCATTCCCTAAGAATGCCATTATTTTATATGCGCCATTCCCAGGGAAACACGCAGTTTTGGGGTATTTTCAAAGAAATTAATCTCCACTGTTTTAAATCTTAGACGTTTGTATTTGGTGTGAAAGGAAAGTTCAAATCTTTGTCAACACAGACATAATTTTTTGGACCACTTTCACTTTCTCTGACAAAAATCGTCAACTGTACAAAAAAGCGTATTAGGCTGAAAAAAAGGAAAAGTTTTCGAAACAAATTTTTCACCCCGATACACACACTAAACAGGCCAATGGTGTTTCTTCAATATTCGTAACGCCTGTTCAGATAGGCGTGATCCATGATAAATATAATTCAACTAAAATTATCGGAAAATTAAATCGAAAGAGTGAAAATGTGCTGTTGTGAGCAGCTTAAGGAACAGCTCAATATAGGTTGAGTCAGTTGCTTCTTTCGGTTCTGAGTTGAGTTGTACACCTCAAAGCAGCCAGGGTAGAGTGCAACTTTGCAGTTTGAGCCCTAGTAAATGTCATTTTCTTTTGCCATTTTCTGTTCACTGCTGACACCCCAGCTCTGCACAACTTATTCTGTGCACATTTCCTACTGCCGCCTAAAGGTTCTGCATATTTGGCGTTGTTTTCAGCTTACTGACACTTTCTGAGAACATGCCTCTCTCATAGTCAGGAATGTTACACACTAATAATGTCAGATTTACTGGACTCCCTGACCACACTCACCAGCTTGAGGTCCAGTTTATTGACAACCCTTTGTTGCCGCTGGGTGTTTTTTCGAGAATAAGTCTAGATGTCACTGTAATGTTAGTATCCTGCAGTGAGTAACATTAACCAAAAGCCCATGGCATACGGGGCGCTTACGTCCGTGATTAAAAAAGAGTAAGGTGCGAAACTGTGACTACCGTGGCAGTTACCAAGTGGTTCCAACTCTTCATCAACTTTCGCCTCAAGGAAAATGAGGGTTCTCGTAGTCTAGAGGCAAGGTGTTCACCTCTAATTCTATAGGTCCCGGGTTCGAAACCTGACAGAGACGAAAAATGATCTTCTCTGAAAAAACTGCATCCTTTCACCTTCTTTCCTGCTCTCTGATCATGTTCTTACGTCTGCTTTCATGTCCACTTTCTGCCCTATCCCCAACCTTACTCCTTTACCTTCCTCCTCCTCCAGTCTCTTTCTGCTGCCTTTCCACTGATTCTCCGAGGCTTCTTCTTACTGCTGTCTTTCAGCCACACCCCTGATCTCAGGGTAGGGAAGATCTAACACCTAGTCTTCTCGGATAAGGACGAAAAAATCTCGGGGGTCCCGTGTGCAGGTTGACCACTTTGAAGATCCATCGATGATCCTAAAATCGATAAGAGTAGGCTGCGGCGCTTCCCGGGCAAGATTCAAAATTAATACCTACCAAACTTAAAATGTGCCAGCTGTGAGCACCGTAAGACACGTACAAAAAAAAGAGAAGAAAGAAGGAAAAGTATGAAATTTGTTCACCTGCATTATCTACGTCGGACATGTTTTTATAAAGTGAATAACGAAAAGGCGTTTCTCCTCTCTGTGAAACCGGCCTTATGTTCCTTGAAGTTCCGACATTTGAAAAGTTGCAAGGGAGGCAATGTTTCATCTCTCTCTCCCGACATTATTTAGATCATTAAAGCGGCTGGCTTCCAACCATGCCTGTCAGTGCCAGCGCAGGTTGAG